TCTCCGAGGTGAATTCTTTTTTTTTCGTTTTGAATAAATATAAATGATTGCCATAACAATTCCCCTTTTTTTACACCTTGCATATATAACCCCTTGTAACAGAGAGTAAATTTGTTAACTGCATTATGTAACTGTTTATCTGTTGACACCAAGCCAGAGTTCTTCTCTGCCAGCAGCAGCTCTGTGTTAACATTATAATGACACTTTAACTGTGTAATTTTAAACGTATTGTAGGTGTGACAGACAGTAGAATGAATGCATTGCTCACAGTATTGTGCAACTGCTCAAATGTATAATGTACTCATTCAGGAAGTCTGTTTGTATCTTTTGTAAAACACTGTAAAGTCACTTAACAAACTTTTAAAATGCTCCACAAGCAGAAAACATGATCAATTTGATTTTTTCATTCATTTTATATCAACAATTATTAATTGTCAGCAGGATGACAAAATACACATCAATTGGAGGAAACCCAAGATTACTCCAATTTCTAAAAGTTTTTCCTCTTGGAGGGTGTTTGAAGTGGCTCATTCCAACATGCAAGCTGAGCCTTTTCTACATCAAAATTACTGACTTACTAACCTCCGCTTTCCTTTTCAGTTGTAGCTTTTTGCTGATCACATGTTCCACTTCAATTTTTCCTGAAATTGGAAAGAGAACACACAAGTTTGAGCGTATGATAAAATACAAATCGTCAACATGCTTCTTTGCAATCTTCCAATATCATTATAAAGACACACCCAGATCAACAACAGAGCCAAACGAGTTGCCAGGTTACCTTGTCTCAACAGAACTTCGACCTGGGAAATGTCAACATCAATTCACGCCATGTGAAATATTTCGATAAATGACTTACAACTATCGGTGGGGCATTTAAGGAGATGGCTCCGGTTTTATTGTTCACCGAGAGTTAAAATCTGCTTTTAACACCACATGTAGGCCAATACAAAACCATCTAAATCTTTTGACATTGATTGAAAAACTTCACAGGGTGCTAATGGTTGAGTACTGTAGATTTAGGTCATTGTGTCTGGATAAATAGAAGAAGTCAAATTACATCAGTCTGTAGATCGAATGTGGCACCATCCAAAAGGTGACGCGCCTATAAGACAGTGGGTAGCAAGTACGATGTAGTGTGCACCAAGATATGCTATTGGACTGCTTGTGGTAAAGGTAACTACAGGTCATTAGTCTTGACAGCTGTCTGATGAACAAGTTTGTTCAGTTATTGAGGTCAATCACACAAACAGAGACCAGCAGCAGTAGCACCCCACCCATATAGCAAGAAAATGTCAACACACAGTACGGCAAAGAAAAAAATGGATTAACTTGACATTGTAACAAAGACAGGGAGTCAATAAATTACGTTTCATTAGAATATTTTGGTAGTTTTTCACCTCACCAAACTTTTTTTGAAGTCAGTATTTTTATTCTAAACATACATTAAGTTCATGTTGTCCAAAGACATGTCATGACTGTGGTTTTATAGACAGAATTTCCCATGATCACTTCACTGACCATCACTTGTCTGTGTGACTATCTGGGCTAGCATGGGAATCAGTCCAGCGCTCTCTACCCTGTCATTCTCTTTTCTGGTTAAACACACAAACTGTACCACAGGTCACAACACATTGCTTAAGAGGGACACATCATCCTGTGACATGGCGTCAGTGAGTAACCCATCCAAGGAAATTCAGTGAAATAAAAAAACATTAAAAAAGAGGGGAGGTTGCACATTGCTTCTCCAATATGACGGTAACAAGAGGTCAATGTCCTCTCCCTTGGCCCTGCTGATGAGGAAGTGGAGATGTCCTCACCATTGCTGGTGATGTGGTTGTCTCCATTGCTTTGCTGATGCTCTCCCTGGTTGCACTCCCCTTTCAAAGAGCTGTCCAAATCAGGGAAGGAGGGCATCTTAGGGATGGCTCGGCAGCGGGACCGGAGGACACAGTCATCCCCAGTCTCCATCCTGAAGAAAACAGGTAACTTCAGTTAAAAACAAACCAGTGACCAGCTGCTTTACCAAAGTAAAAGGCATCAAGTCTTGAGGCGAGCTCAGGGTAGCATGGGTAAGAATGCTAAGGATTTAGACTGACAAATAAAGCAAACACAGTTGACAATCAGATCACTCTCACATGACACGCAGCAGACAGACAGACAGGCAGACAGGCAGACAGACAGACAGCTAACACTTCAGTTAGCTGTTATTAAGACTCAGAGTGAATTCATGAGCTAACTGCACATATTAAAGCTAAACAGCCACCTGGTTTGAGGCTGCCTCTCACTGTAAAGCGTCCGCCTCACGGCTGCTAGCACTGGGGAACATCTATTGGTCAAACTAGCCAACTTGTTGACGTCCATCGTTAGCTAGAGACCAGGTTGACAGACATCGAAGGAAATATAAAAATGCCGCCTACCGGATACTTCCTGGACACCTGCTCGCTTCAGCCGCCGTCGTGCTGTCTTGTCAAGTCGATCTCCGACGTTTCCGAGTCCAAACTCAGACGTGTGACTGCTTTAGATCCCAACAATCTGAGCTGCTGCTCACCTTCCCCATTGTATTAACACAGGAGATGAGGAACAGGGCAGTCGACGCTGATTGGTCGAAAGTCTCTCCTCCTTTCGACGTCACCAGCGCCCACAGTGTTGACCACAGCTGTCTTCAGACTCCAGCTCCGGGCTGCTTGGTGACTAATTAAATGAAACTTGCTGCAACATGAAAAGTGTAATACAGTTTTTACTTGCTTTGAGAGTTAAGTAAAATCCTAATTACACCCCTAAATACTGAACAGTTACAAGTCTCTAAATAGGACTACCGTGAAGCCTGGGCTTTTATTTTCTTCTATCTGAGCTCAGCCTGCCTTTATTTTGAACAGTCCTTTATATGTGACAGGCATTTCATTTTTTCTTTTTACGCAAAACCCCTGCTCAGCAAAGATGGGAAACACTATCAAATTATTTATTTGACTCTTTGTTGCTCATGGTTTCTGTAAAATGATTATAAATTATAAATTCTGTGGATAATCTAATGATGTGGAGCATGTGCTCATTGATAAAACAATTATATTTAGGCTCAGAACTCACTTAAGCAGGCAACCCGGTGGGCTTTTAAGAGGTTTTATACATTCAAATAACTTCTATAAAAACTAGAACAGGCCTCTAACTGCATACTGTATGTATTGTATCTACAGTAGACTCTGTCATATCCACCGACCTCACGTAAATAAAGATACCTGCAAGTAAAATATTTATTTCAGCATCATTCGCCCTCTGCACCATTGCACTATTGTTTACTGTCTACAAATGTTTGTTTATATATGTATAACTATATATGTCTATATTTTTTTGTTGAACTTGTTCTGTTTATTTATGCTGTCAGTCTGTGTTTGTACATTGAGAGCAACGTAGTCATATTCCTTGTATGTGCGCACATACCTGTCCAATAAAAGTGATTCTGATTCTAATTGAGACCTGCGTTTATTTGTCAAAACATGTAGCCACACCAGGCTTGTAAAGGAGACCTGCTTCTAATTGGGACGCTGCTTTTAAGAGATTTTTTTACGGTATGTTTCGAGAATCAATAGTGTGAATCAACAATTAACAGATGTAAGAAAACATAAATGTCTCCACAAACACAATATGAAATAAAAGATAAAGAGGATTTACTCCCACTTCCTGCGCAATGTGTGCAGGATTCCCTCTGTATGTTGGACTATAACAGTATTTTATTTTATTGATTTATTTGACTGGTTCAAATACTTATTGATCAGCAGAAACAAATAATTATATTTAGAGAAGTAGTGAATGTATTTAAGTACATTTACTCAAGTACTGTACTTGATTACAAATTCTTAGGTACTTTCGACTTTATTCATATACTCCAATACATTTCACAGGGAAATACTTTTTTAATAATTTGACAGCTTTAGTTACTATTTACTTACAAATTATGATTTTTACAGAGAAAACACACAAATAGCTCATGAAATATGACGTTTCTTGTAAGCTGAAAGTTAGTCAATTAATTAATAAAAAAAATAATAATTGGCAACTACTCTAATAATTGTTCATACGAAAAACATGATTGCAGCTTCACATATGTGAGGATTTGCTGCTTTTCCTTTAAATAATTTTAATGTATTTTTAATCATTTTGAATTTTGGGCAATTGGTTGGACAAAACAAACACTGAGATGGTGTCACTGATCTCTAGGTAATTGCTGGCATTTCCCAAAGCATGATTGGGAAATAAATCTCATATTGAGCTGGTCTTATGAGATGAGTGTGACAAATACAATTAACTACAAAGACACAGGGGAACATTTATGAAAATCATGAACGACTACATTATACACATAACCACAGATTTGCTTCTGGATTGTGTTGTTCATGATTAAATGCGCAAAAAAAGGATCATGAGTGTATTGGTGAGGAAGGGGTGGGAGGTCTCAACATGCATTTGGTAACAGGCAGTTATATCATACTTGGATGATTTTGTATAGTCTGTTGGAAGAGACTCTGTGACTGAGACCTTTTTCTCAACTGCCTGCAGGTCTTTTCTGTCACAACAAGGCCACTTTGTGATGTGTTCTGACAGCGGTGCACAATCAAAATAGCCATAAGAAATGTTTCAAATGTTCCCATGCTCACCACATGGAAACCACTTTGTATGGAAACTGCCACCCAACAATATTTTGACTTCTGGACATCCCTGAACTTGGAAACTTGGGAAAGTCACAGCAGGGCTCAAATAGTACAGTACTAGAAGCTGTTTTACATGAACTGATGCTTTTAATTTCCTACTATGTGTGTAACAAAACTCAACAGATGAAGGAAACATAAAAACATTCAACTATCACTATAAATCCTGTGAGATTTCTAACATGACATTGGCTTATTAGGAGGTCCTGTGTCATCAGTGGTAAACTTTTATTTGATTGGTGTAAAATCTCAACCTACACATTCTGTAGTTACATTAGAAATCTTGTTCATGGAGAAAGAAAATCTACATTATAACCTACATTATAAAATATTTCAAGGTTGGCATCAACTGTACAGTGCAGGCAGTAAAAATATAACAGATGCACATGTCTCAGTTTTAATCCACACGTTCAAAGTCATCATTTTATTTTTAAGTGCTGCACATTATTCCTCTGTGAGGATGATGGGACACTGAATACACTGAGATGTAATATAAACAGTTTAATTTCATAAAATGCTTCATATGATAAAATCTAACAATTCATTCAGCTTGTGACAATTCAATAAATACACACAACATATAGTACTGAGCAAATTAATTCTAACATACTTTTTCATGTAAAATGTCTAGACACCACATATCCCTGCTTTCTATATAAAAGAGATATTTACAGAATTTCATCATGCACAGGTGCACACACACTCACACACACACGCACACACACTCTTCATAGGTCACAAGAAGCAGAGGGGTCCCAAAGCAACAGTGATCTCAGGGACAAGGGGAGATAGTGACGTCATTTCTATACCCAGATCTCTGACAGGAAGTAACTCCATATCACCTCGATGTAGCTCCGTGCTCCCCCGAACCATCACAACCACCTCCACCTGCAAGATGATGAGGAAAAAAGACATCAAGAGAACATGTGTACTCTGTTCTTCCTGGATTTAAAACGTAATCCTGTGAATGAAGCTTTACATGGCAGGTTATAGCAGTGGGAATTTAGTTATTTCTAAAAACAATGTGTTGTATTTGGAGTACAGTTTTTTACAGTTCAAATGCTGCTAAACTGACAATAATTGTGTTTTTGACAACAAGATAATCTTTTACCTCACAGCCTCTCTTGGGCACCATTGTAAGGTGTGAAATAATTTCTTTGCCAGAGTCTCCCAGGAAGTGAATAATCCTATTGGCTGAATTAGTTGTGCCAGCAGTACTGGAGTGGTTTGCTGTACAGCTGACAGTCATGTGCTGGAAAGATCTGTGGCTGTGTAACCGCAGAAACCTCAGCTGGACAACATCCGCACCAGTGTACTCAAACTATCAGAGACAGAAATCATTTCATTTTAAGTCAGAGAAAATGGCTCACTGATGTTAGATGTAATAAATGTTATTCAATCAATACACAAATGTGTGACAGTCTTACCTTCTTTCCACCATGTTGCTGACTAAACCACTGGACAGACTTTTTCGATTTCTTCTTTTCTGGTTCCCAACTTAATTTAATCTAAAGAAAAGAATATTGCTAATATTTTTAAAGACCATTGTATTTGTGTATTTACATAAACGTGTGAAAAGTACTTTCCCAATAGTTATTTTTATTAATAGGCTTGCACTGCCTTGGGTGAAACAGCTTTATGTACAGTATGCGGCTTCATACACTTAAAATCTGCTGAAAAAATATATTAAAAATGCAAACATTGGTCTCTTTAAGAGATTTCAAATCATCAACTGACAGCAATGTTATAGGGTTAAGTATATTGCAATGTAAAACCATTGGATCATATCATGTTAATGCAGTTGAAAAAAAGAGATTGAGTGTTTGCTTTCCTCACACAGCACTCAGCCCGCTAATGTTAGCCCTTGTACTGTAGGTGAAAATGAGTGTACCTGCGACTGTAAAGGGTCGATGCAGGTTGTTCCTCCTGCTGTGAAGTTACAGAATACCTTCACAGCATCATAGGGACAGCCCTGGTTGGGGTCCATGTAAAAGTAACCTGAAAAATAATCGACTTGAGTGCCCGATCACTCAGACTAATTTGGTATCCAGTGTATTGCCCAAAACAGATTAATATAAAGTCATGGTTATGAGCGTATTCAGACCCTCACCATCATTCAGATGAGGGTGTATGAGTCCCAGCTCGTTGCAGGTGGTGGCAGGGTCATCTTTGGTTCCCTGAGGCCAGCTGAAGGATTCCTCAGCTTCATCTTCTTGAAACCATCTCCTGGACACTTGCCTGGGCCGCTACAGGGGAATCCATCATTCAGTCATCCAAACATTAAATCATAATACAGCTCCCTTCATATGAAGCTTAAATGAACACAAAAAAAATGTACCACCTTTTGTTGTCCTTCTCTTCGCTTCAGGAGGCTGAGTTTTTGTCCAGGTCTTGGCACATTTTTCAGTTTTGATCTAGCACTGAGTCTTGTTTTGGGCCTCAGCTTATTTCTTTGACCTGGTTTGCTGCGGTTGCCTGGCGCACCCGGTTTTCCCTGTAAAACAAATTATTTTGCTTTAAGAGCATGGTACACTCCCTGCCATCAAGGTTCAAATGCATCTTCACATTTTATGGTATGTTACAGTTAAGTTTGTTGATCAGGTCAAACATCTTTTTTTACTTGTTTACTTGTGTGAGCAAAATGTCTTACTGGAGGTCCACGCTTGCCCTTCACTCCCTTTGGTCCTTTCCTGCCTTGGTAACCTTTCATTCCCTGTGAAGGGAACCAAGGTTATGATAGAGCCAACTAAAAGTTATGAAAGAATGAAATAATTTCTAGTGAGCTACATAAGTTGTCTACTGAAATGCTCTCTTCATAAACATAAACTAAAAACTATAAATGTGCTTTCAGGA